GCTGCATTCTGGACTAACTGAAGTCTTCGAACACTCTTCAAGGGCAGCCCCATGTAGAGCGGATCAACAAGATTGTTAAAGAAGAGAAATAGCCCAACAATTAATGGATGGATACTGATCAAGGAGAGATTCAACCTAGAAATAAGGAGGAATTTTCTGATAGTGAGAGCAATCAACCAATGGAACAGCTAGTCTTCAAAAGTTGTGGGAGCTTCATCACTGGAGGCTTTCAAGAAGAGACTGGACTGCGATTTGTCCTGCTTGGGTGGGCGTTTGGACTAGATGATCTGCAAGGTCCCTTCCAACTGTATTAAACTGTAAATAATCTGTTAATCAGTTACCTAGTGAGACATTCTATCTATGCCTGCTGGTGATGCCATAACACCATGTGTCTTATAATACTTCGTTGAAATGGACATATAGATAAGACATTTCATCAGGGTTTTGCTGGATGAATGCATGCCACAACTGACATACAGAGGGGCACTTCTGCTATACAGTGATAGCAAAATTTAATAACTTTTAAGTAGGAAAATTTTGCTATTCAAAATAATTGTTAATCCCCCCCACCAAATGAGGCTGCTGTGAAAACATTTTGACGCAAGTACCAAGTATTTTGAGCTGTTTTTTTATTGAGAGCTAGTGGTAGTGCAAAGTGAAGAAAAGTGTGATTTTGGAGCTCAGACAATTTGGAGAATTTTGAAAAGGATCTGTTCAAAGATTGACCACTATTTTACTCTTCTCTCCGTTTTCATTACATCTTCCAACTAGTCAATTTTATATATAGAGTGTTCCTGCTGCTCGGAGTAAATTAATAGGTGAGCTTGTCACTTTCTGGCATGGATTTCTAGTTGTTCTGCTCATCAAAATTACTTTTTTCAACATTTATAATATATAAATAATTCCCAATTAAATCTGAGTTATCCTGAATTGGGCCAGTTAGATATAAACTTATACTTTAAGGATGGGAATTACCAGCATCCCTTACTATCACATCCTAAGAATTGTCATCCCAGCACACCTGGGAAAGTTTGTTGTAGAGTCTAAAACTAAAACCTGGGTCTTAATAAATTTACTCCAAGCTATTACAAATACCTTCCATCTCTCTCTCTCTCTCTCTCTCTCTCTCTCTCTCTCTCTCTCTCTCTCTCTCTCTGTC